ACGACATTTAGTTTCTGAGATCAAATTTCGGTGATTTATGAGTTACAATTCGGATTGTACATTCAAATCAAATGATGTAATAATGTTGACCAAACTTTTTGTAAATCCGGTACTTTATGTAAAATTACATGAAATTTGGTTTTCTGAAACTTACGTAAAATTACATGTAATGTAAAATTGTAATTTATGTAACACATCCCTAGTAGCGTATTAGGAAATAAATCTCCAAAATTAGTAGGTATAATGTTTATGAGAAAAACAGTGATCTGTGCAAATGCATTATCCAATCATCTTTAAGATTTTGCCTTCGATTTATTCACCGTAAAACCATACACTTCGTACTTCGTACTACGTTCCTGTTAAGGTTGGTGATTAAATAGATGCCGCAGAAATCTGTGCATGCACAAAAATTTCTTTTTTATGCACAAATTTTTGTTCCAAATTTTCAACACTGCGTATAAGCGCGAAATAACGCTCGTGGGCGTTATTTTGAAAATCGGGTTCTTCAAGAATACCTTATATCGAATTAGCGCTCATGGACGTCCCGAATTTACGCACGCACATAATTTATTATTGCGATAGATAAACAGTCGATACTCCACAAGCGCACTCTCTATAAGTGCACTTCACATTTGGGTGGGCAATATATTGTGAAATCAAAACTATATGTAGTTATATAATAGAAGTTACTGGGTCTATGTCTAAATCCCGAAAGTCAAAATCCTGAAATTTAATTGTCGCATCGTGTGATTTTGACTTTCGGGATTTTGACATAGATCCGAATTTACTATGAAGATTTTTAGTTTATGCAAAATTTAAATAGATGCACAACCCTAACAGTTCGAAAGTTTTGGATAAAATTTTGCAAAGACCAGCACTACATCTCTACAAAGTTATAGAACTATTTTCTTGTCGTTTTTAAGAAAAAAAAAACATAATGCATTAAATCTTTTCATGTTTAAATAAATAAAATAGCTTTGTAAAAGCATAATACTGGGTTTTGTAAAGTTTTATTCAAAACTATTGAGCCGTTAGGGCTTGCATCTATTTAAATTTTGCAATAATTATTATAAAATTATCACTTATCAGTTATCTAAAAATTTTAGTTAATAAATTTTATTATATAACTACATATAGTTTTGATTTACATAGCATATCGCCCACCCCTAACTTGCACTTTTCCTATAAGATAAGTACTCATAATTTAATCGGTCTAATGTAGTTATTTAATGTCGGGGATGATGCTGAAATTGGCTGATGCTGAAATTTAGGGTCCCCATTTAAATCTATAATACCTACTAAAATTCACTTATACTTTTTTACTAACACTACCCTCAAACCCTAACCTAACTCTAAAAAAAACCCCTAACGAAAAGGCCCAAAAATTTTTTAAAATTTTAAGATAAAATAAGTCAAAATTTCAGCATCATCCCCGACATTTAATATGTATGTCTATTATTCTCCATAATACTTTCATATTGAATATATTGAATATTTTATAAATGAGTGCTGTCAATAGAAAATCTGTCATCGGACTTACAATTATATTTGTTACAGTTAGCTGTCTACGGAAAATCTATTGTCATAATACATTTTTTATAGATGGCTAACTGTACACAAAATATAATTGAAAGTCCGATGACAGGTTTTCTATTGACAGCACTCAAATGCACTTTTACCCAACGGCGCACATTTATTGAAAGTCAGTTGTATTGAATTTAGAAATCCTTCTCTTATTTCGAAATAACGCACATGGGCGTATTCGAAATAACGCACAGGTCAATTAATTTGTACCTATTTAATTATCGCTAAATGCTGTCAATGCGTAACATGGTGCCAAATGCCTATCATGTAAATGTGTGAATATGTTTTTGTTGTGCAAATATATATATATATATAGACCTGCACTTGGATAAATATGAATTTTCAAATTGCATTTTTTTATTACGATAGTATAAATTATTAATCGTGAATCAAAAACCCAAAACATTGATGTATCAAAAATTTAACATTGTGTCACCTTACAAAATTTATAAATAAAAGGTCCTACTTCAAATGAAAGTTTCAATTTCAGATATTGAACCCATCTGGAATTAAGTGCTTGCATTTTTTTTTTTTTTATTTAAAAACGACAAAAGAATTGTTTTAATAATGACAACTCTCAGGATTCTTGTGCTGTTCATAATAGCATCAATATTACTACTTGGCGTATATATAAATGCAGAACAGGGTTATGATCCAGAGTCTATGACTATTACCCTTACAAAGAGAAAATCCACCTCTGGAAAAACTTTAGAAAATTTCATTAAAGTAAATAATGTTAACATAAATCAAAAATATTCTAGATTAAAAAAACGGCAATCTTCATCTTTAAATATAACTTTGACCGATGAAACAATTTTAATTAATAATGATTTTAAGTATTTTGGCCCTATAACAATTGGTAATCAAAGTTTTAACGTAACTTATGACACCGGTTCTTTTGATCTTTGGGTTCCAGACATTTCATGCAACATCCTTATTTGCGGATATCATAATCGATTTGATCCTTCAAAATCTTCTACATTTCAACCTTCTAATAATAGCTTCAATTTATCTTATGGACTTGATAACAGTAATAATGTTACTGGTTATGAAGGTCAAGATACCGTCATATTCGGTGGAGTCACAATCACACAACAAACTATTGGATTAGCAAAAATTGATCCTTTTGCATTTCTAGAAGACGGGATTCTTGGTCTTGCGGCTTTAAATTTAGATGGATTTAAAGTGAATGGAGTTATGCAATCGATAAAAGAACAAAAAAAATTATCTAAAAATATAATTGGATTTCATTTGGCAAGAGAAAAAAATAATTCAAAAGATATAAGCTTTATGAATCTAGGTGGTGTTAATCAAGACGCTTTTATAGGTTCAATAGGATATAATATTGCAAACGTCTCATTAGGAGTTTGGTTAATCCAATTAAATGATGTTAAGGTTGATGGAAGTTCGTTTGGCCTTCCATCATCAGAACCAGCTATTATTGATACTGGTTAGTACTATTTTATTTTTTAATTCTAAATTATGATTTAAAATTAAAATTTGCTCTATATTTAGGCACTCCGTTAATCTTCGGTATACCTCAGATAGTTAATTTAATTCATTCTAAAATTCCCGGTTCTGTCCTTTATCAACAAGGACAAGACCAAGCATGGCTTATCCCATGCAATACAAAATCTGTAGTTTCATTTACATTTGATAACGGATCATATTCAATCGATCCTGCTGAACTTGTCGTATATATTAATGACACATCATCTCTATGTATTTCAGGCATACAATCAAACCCTTATAATTTTTGGTTGATTGGTGATGTGTTTTTGACAAGTGTCTATAGTGTATTTGATTTTGATAATTATGAAGTAGGATTTGCTGTGTCAAGAATAATGGCTAATTCAAATAAGACTTCTAATACTGCGATAAATTCGGTTCAAACTCAAAATCTTTTCTTAATTATTGGAGTAACTATTTTTGTATTATTTATTTAGTAAGATTTATTATTATCATTATTATAATTCTAAGATTTACTTAACTAATACGACTAACAAGCCATTAAATTCATGTTAAAATATGTAAAGTATAATTCTTTAATTAGTATTAGTAAAAGGTGACTATAATTAGCAATATTAGTAGTGACATTGATTTGATATTTATTGATTGCAGCTGTTTAATAATGCATAAGTCCTGCATTTCACCAATTATTCCTCCGATTATAGCACCAATGTTAGTATATGGTGGATTAATCGAAATTGAACCTTAGTAGCTGAATTTGGAGGTTGATACGGATTGAAATTGAATTACAGAATCATAAGTTACCTATTTATAGTCGTCTTTCAAGAAAAATATTAGGTGTAGCCAATAAAGAATCATCCAAATAACGCCTATACTTAAATCTAGTGCTATGAGTAGTGTTTGTCTAGCATTATTTTAATAAAATTAGTGAGTTACTGAAAAAATTATATTATAGAATTTGCAGTATTCATAGTATAGGTGCAGACTTATGGTGAAGTTATAACGTCAATTTGACGTAACTCAATAACATTATGACACGTCAAAAAACCATAACTGCGTATGCCATAATATTAACCTGTGCCGTATCATTGAATTCTATTGTAATATCTGACTTACGCCATAACATATGACTTGTGCTGTAACATCCGATCTATCTTGTATTTCGATGCTACATCTAAACTATGATCCATAGCTTTACGAATAAATAAATCTCACTGAGATATATCACTACATGATATATTCCACAAACTTGAATGCCCATTATAAGTGCATTAATTCAATCATTTTTTATTCTTATGAATTAAAAATAATCAATAATGTCTTTATACAATATCCGAATTTAAATTAGATTAAATTATATAGACTTCAATTAATAAATAACTTTTCTATTTATCCACTAAATTTACATAAATTTAAAACGGTACACCATGTGAAGAAACTGTAAAAATACTTTAAATATGTAGGCTAGTACAAATGTAAATTTCGAATTTTATGTACACTGAACAAAACCTATAAGTTCTTTCGCATTTAATCATTTTTGCGTTAAAAGATTTAAATTCAATAATACAGTCATTAGAATTGAATGTTTTGTAACGAAGCTCTAAAATACCATAAGATAGTGCAATAGAATTTCCCATAAAAGGTTTAAGTTTTTTTTTTGATTTGTAGAATAAAAAAAATCAACTTTTTTTTGTACAGAAAAATTCGTACACACTTTCCATAGGTGAAATTAACCAATTATCATTGTGATAATGTTGGTATAGATTTCAAAAATGAACAAAGGTTTTAAAATAAAAAGGATCATTTTTATTTTCATAATCTCATATATTTTTATAGCGCTGTAACTTTATATTGCTGTAACATTTATTTATTTTGTATCTTTTCATATTTAACTTTAATATTGGCATCATTTTTTTTGCATTGCCAAAATTTTTTATAATGATATAACTATTAAACTAAGACTATGGCAAATATTAGTTATTATAACCTATGTCATTATAACTCTTTTAATTAACAACACATCAATTGGACATAACATATATCTTTAAATATCTGCATCTTTAATTTATAGTATATAGTTAAAATTTTTAATAATCTAGAATTAATAAGCTAATTAATTAATTAGCTAATCAACTAATTAATTAGTTAGCTAACTAGTTTAATAAATAAATTTAATTAATAATTTTACCAGATACAATTTTTTTCTTCTTAAAATAACATCTGTGACTAGAAACTTTATTGATAATTAATTTATAAAATACTACTTTACTAAAACTTGCAAAATAGCAATTTGCAATTAACTATAATGTAACTATATAGTACTTAGTAGTAGCAATTTCTTTATATTAACTATATATTAGCAATACGCTTACTACTATTAATTTTTTTAGTTTTAAAGTTAATATATAATCATTTTAGAATATGTACAAGAAAAGGTTATTTTGCGTCAAAATTTTTGTTAGCCGTACAAGTTGGATTAAATGTAATTGAAAGATAAGTCAAATTTTGTATTGTATCATTTCGAACTTGAAATATTCATTCTCAGGAATTGATTCATCGAGGTTTAAGTTCAAGAAATATCTTGCAAGATCATTTGTAGTGTATACATTACGGATCTAGACTTTCATTATCGTCAAATATAAATAACACTAACGACGGTACACCATATATTGCATCTCAAGGTTTTGATGGTATACCGTTCACCGATATTTATGGTCTTGGTTTTGTGTTTGAGAGCTCAATTGGAAGAAGAGAATTCGATGACAGTTCTATTAACATTCATCCGTAGAAATTTGTCAGGGAGGATTTAATGATTATCATTAATATTTACATTTTACATGTGCTTCTGAAGACCTCAAAAAGTAAGCGAAGAACGTAAACTACATAAGATCTATGCACTGCCAAAAATAATATCGGCAGAAAAGCCATCGAATGGGTGATTCAGTTTGCTTATAACGCTCTATACCCTTAAATTACAATTTACATACGATTCACCAAAAAGTGCATTTGTTTGAAATACTTTGGCAAATTTTCTTGCAAGATACGTAATGTAAGGGATAAATCTTTTAAATACATACATTTTTAAATAAAAAAAATTCACACCGAGTTTTTACACTTTATAATAAACTTTCTACTCGAAATACGTGTAGCCCTGCACATGGAATGCACTTATTGGTGGCTCGATAGTCGATAACAACATTTTATATTATCAAAAAATCTAGGTTAGGGTTAGTGACTTTAAAGTTAAATCAAAATTCTGAATTTGGTTTTGCTATCTGGTCTATTCAGATCCTAAAGATTCCATTCAATAAGTAATAGATTCGAATTTAGAATTAGTTTTTCCCTTGCATAATTTCAAAAAAAAAAGAAAGTGACTAATTTACGCAGCTCATATCATTTTTACTTATACTACTTGACCGGATGACAATATAGGGATATGTATGAATTTTTAAGCGAGCATAGTATGCTAACTTTGACCTTAATTTTAATTATATGTATGTATTTTAGTAAATTTATCCATAATCTGACTTGGAACCATTATAACACAAAAAGCATTCCGAGATTCATTAAATATGAATTACTATAAAGATTTCATTCTACTTAATTCATGTTTCAAGTAATATGAAAAATTAAAAAAAAAATTAGATCTTAAATTGTCCGCCACAACGATGCGATTTGAATGTAAGGCTCATAATGAAAAAAATATATGGTTCCATAACAAAAGTCCTTATCAAACCTTTTATTAATGGATTGGATTTACCTGTACTAGAGCTAGTACAATGTACTAGTTCTAGTAAAGTATTAAATTAAAATTATCTATTAATTTTTAAAGTTAACTACTTTATTAAATATTATTTTAATGGGCATTTCTATTTGTACACGGGGTGTTTGAACACGGGTATATAGAAAGCCAATAAGATTACATGATCTGGTATAACATAAAATAATGTTTTTTAAAAACTTTAGTTATAACTTAAAATTTCACTTATGAAACCACCTTTGAGGGATTAATAAAAAAATTTCTTGTAAAATTTTGGTATATAATACCTCTCGCCTCTATCCCAAACCTACCCTTACCCTAACCTTAGATAGTGTTTAATTTTTTGTTTTATGCAAATTGTTTTGATTTTGCATGTTACACGAATTTGCAAATTAATACCCATGTACAAACACCCTGTGTACAATTAGTTTTTTTCTATTTTAATATAGTTTAAATCTATATAATTATATAAAAAAAGTTTAATAGCTTTAAATATTTTTTTGAATTTTATACGATTTTTTGTTTGCTTAAAAATTTTTAGTTTAATTTAATTTTATATAGTAGTTACTAGCTACTTCATAAAATATTTGTATTTATAAAATTTTTAATAAAAGTTATAAAGATAAGTTTGCTAATTTTAAATATAAAATTTTTTAAAATTAAACCAATATATAAGAAATAATTTAAATTTAAAGTTTTTACTAATAATTACTAAATAAATATTGTTTTTAAATTTATATTAAAAAATGAATAAAAAAACTCTTTCTGACGATCACTTGAACCAAATTTTTTGATGAAAAGAAAAGCCTATTTTCGATACTGGAGAGTAGTAACCTGTAGTGAGGTAAATCAACAAGGCAGTTTTTATAAAGGTTAACCTTTTTGCTATCCCAGAGACTCCTTTATATATTCGACATGCAAGCCAAAAGCATCTGTATACAAGATAATTGGCAAAAGATAATGCCCTTATATACAAAATTTTGGTGAATAGGTGGAGGTAATAGAAGTTCAAGCCTACGTCGATGAAGCTATCAGTTGTGAAACAACTGGGAAGCAGTAAAGAACAGGCTTCTTTTAAGCTGCACTTCTTTTTATTAGCCAAGTGGTATCTACTATTCTTTTTCTGCTTTCCTGCTTTTCTTCCAAAATTTTTTGACAAAAAGTGGGGATTTGGCTTACCCTCTCCAAAAGATCAGCATTGTTTACTTCCCAAATTTGGATGGACTAGTAGATTGCAACTACATGTTTGTTTACAGATGGATATGGTGCTACTGCATGGGACTTGGCCTGAGAACTCTAATTACAGCAGAAGGGAGTCTTGATATAGATCCTTGGACAATGGAGCCATCCAAATTCGGTGGGAAGATCAGAAAGAAAATTTTAATGCTAAGGTGGAGGTTTATCTTTACAAAAGAGATATACAAATATTGTATTTGTTATATAATTTTTACCAACCTTGCACAGGTTATAATAGTGCCTTTAGGGTCTTAGTTTTCTTTTCATATTTTTTCTTTTTTGAAATCTGTGTTTATTTTTTCTTTTTGTTTGTTTGGTTTTCTTTTTTGGTCATTTTCGTATTTGTTTTTTGATTTAAACTTTTCACCCTTTTGTCTTATACCCTTTGAGAAGAAAAAAGAATTAGAAGGGAAAAGAGGTCCTGAGGTGGGAGCTGAGCTCCAGCTATATTATATCTTTAAATACACCATGTCATATGTGGGGTATAGTGGCTAACATCAGTGCGATAACTAAAGTTGGGCATTTTTAAGAAACAGCCGGCTTTTAGTTTATTAAGTAGCTTGGTCTTGTATTAAGCATTATATATTTAATAAAATTTTAGTACGTGGTTATCAAAGGAAAAAAAAAATATATATATATATATATATATATATAGAGGTGTGGCAACTTAGTGTAGTAGTCTAGGCGTTATCCTCTCCAAGTGGCAGGTTTAGAGTTCAAATCCCACTAGCAATAATATTTGAAAAATAGACCTGTGTTTAGTTAATGGCTATACTTATTGGTTGGATCTAATTTGTAACTTCAGTTACACCATCTAGTAATGGGAGCTTTGGCGCAATAAACCCGAGGAACTGGCATAACCGAAAACCCATTTGGGAAGTCCCGAATTTGGATGTAACTGCAATTTTTGACAGTATCACAGGAGGGCTGAATTTGAACTAGGGCCCGAGATCAGAGAACCGAGTGACAGGTTTTATGATAGAGGACATACCAGCCAAACTGCCAAGTTGTCACACTGAAAGAAAAGGGTATATGCTCCGAAAGTATGAACCAAGGAGAGGGTGTCCTTCAGACACCTAAAGTCTGGGCAAACCAACCCTTCTGGGTTGCTGGCTGGAAGTAAGGGAGGGACCGATAAAGAATCTGAGTAAGGAGACAGTTCCAAATGTGGGTACTGGAGTTGTTGTGAACCGATTAAGTGCAAGGAGTACGTAATGGGAGACTAACTAGGAAGTTTGTAGCTTGATATACAGTTCGTGTTATGGCAATACCCTAAAAGATAGCTTGAGATATGGACTCGGTGTTGGCAGTACAACAGGTACTAGTTCGGAAGAAGTTGCTGAACATGCAGGTGAATACAGATGTGAAACATGTATCACTCTGTTGGGTTTACTTTTGAGGATAGTTAAGTGTCTTAAGTTGGCTGGTAAATATAGTGGTATTGCAAAATCTAACCCATTTAGTGAGTTACACCCACGTTAGGTAGGGTTAGGCCGAATATGTTAAGACTAGAGGGTTTAAATAGGTACCCCCTAGTTGGGGTGCAAGTACAGCAGATAGTGTAGAACCTTTGGGCAGACTACTTAAATAGGCACCCAAAAGATGCATGTGTGGCTTGATATACCTTCGTCATAATGTATAGTGTTTAATACTTGTCTAATAAAATCTCGCTGACAATTAGAGTTATCTTTGCCAAAAAAAATAAATAAATAAATAAATATATATATATATAAATATATATATATATATATATATATTTTCTTTGATAACTGTGTACTAAAATTTTATTAAATATTTACTACTTAATACAAGACTAAGCTATTTAACAATCTAATTAGACTAAAACCTGGCTGTCTTCTTGAGATGCCCAAGTTTGGATACTACACTGATGTTGGCCACCATATCCCATATACATTGCAACACATTTAAAGATATGATCTAGCCTGGGCTTAGCTCCCATCAAATATTTACAATCTTTTAGTCCACCAACTCGGTGGGTTAGAACTTAAAATTCTCTGTCTTACCGCAAACTCTGACAAATATCTTACTTCTAACTCTACTAGTTGATCCACCCCTACTATCTTTATTTGCTTTTTTGTCCTAGGTTGGTCCATATTGCTACTTCGACTGGGTGCGATATTCTCCTTTCCACAAGACCTTTTCTTTTCATCGCTCTTCTTTGGTCATTTTTTCTTAATACTGATATAGGATTTTTCGATTTATTTTGTTTTTTAACTAATCAAATTCATTTAAAATACTAATTTGATTGAAACGCGAATTTGATTGGTATTTTAAATGAATTTGATTGGTTAAAAAAACGAAATAGGTCGAAAAATCCTGTATTATTTTCTTTTTCCTATACAACAAATTTTCTGCATCTATCACTCCATACCAATCTATAAAAACATTCTTGTATACCAAAGCTAGCTGCTTTTAGAGTTTCAAGTGCTACAGCTTCGCTTTCTAAAATGTTACTTAATCACGAAAGTATACTGCATTTAAAAAGACCTTTTGAAAGAAGGCTATGCGCCTTGACTCTCTCGACTGATGTTGAATCAAGAACTGCTTTCTACAAGTCTTGTACTATTAAAGCTACTCTATAGACTTCATCTATCGATGCCCAAGCTAGACTAATGCTAAACTTCTTAATTTCTATCCACGTTTCATTTAGTGCCTGACACTGCATGAGGTGATTTGCATTTTCCTCCTTATTATTTTCATACAGGACTTTGTATTATGAACTTCTTGTCTATATATCGATTTGCTTCATCTGCTATATTTAGACTACATTCCATATATCAGTGCAGTAACCCA